ATCGGTATGCGAAACAGGGTACCGATCATCGCAAAGCATTTTTTTCCTATCTAAACCATCACAGTGCGATCGCAAAAGCGATCGCAAAAAAGCCATCGCTATGCGATTTTTTCGTTAAACGGGGCGCTCGTTAAGCGAGGCACCACTGTAATGTGATTACTAGAAAAAGGAGTTAACTGAAGAGTCCCTACCACAGGCCAAACAGCGGGACAAATACCTGCCTGATTTTACCTACAGAGAATCAGTTGTGTCACTGGAGAAATAAGGCCAAAGTTTTGTTTTCTGGAAGGGTAAAGAATGGAGGCTAAACACTTTTCTTTGCTGTAATTTTCTTTGCTTATATTAATACTGTAATTTGCTCTGGTTCAGCATCAGGTCTAGATTGTTTTGGGCTGGAACTTTCTATAACATTGCGGAAAGAGGAATGGTGTGTGAAATGCACAGAAATGCTGGGACATAATTCAAAGAACATACTGAACCCTCTTTCATAATGTGTCAGGTAGAGATACCAGTCTGATTCAGACTAAAGGTGGACACAAACTGAACCTTGAACCAGAAAAACTGATGAACCAGGCTGGTTCACAATTTGGTTCGTAATCCAGTTTGGGAATCCTATTTTGCCAAAGCAAAACAAAGTGCTGAACTTCTTTTCCCTTAACACTTTATTTTGCTTTGGGAAGTGGGATGCCCTCTGCCCCCTTCTCACTGCCCTGTTGCCTCCCTACCTGCTTCTGCCACTGTCACTGTTGCTGCCATCCTCAGAAACAGCAGGCCCAGCTTCCTTGCCAGGAGTCAGATCCACTGCCTCTGAGGATGGCGGAGGTGGGAGCAGTTAAGGATGTGATCGAGGCAGTGGGAAGGTGGCGGACGGGAGGCAGAGAAGGCAAAGGACAGGAGCAGATAGGCCCGAACTAAAAAAATGAACTGTGTGCTGGTTTGTTTTTCCAGTTGTTCATGTCTAGCCACAAACCACTGGTTCTTCTTAGTGGCCTCTGTGAATGCACACAAATGGGTTTATCCTGCACCTGTGCAGGATGTTCGGAAGATTCTAGAGTTAGGAAAAAAGGTTGATTAGTTCCCTCCCCCCACAGGGTATGAGCTCCGCCTCCTCAACCTTCCTTTCAGTTTCCTCTTTTCCGCCGTTCAGATAGAACGTTAGGAACTAGAGTGCTAAGGAAAGTGATTTTACCTTTGCTAAATCTTTTACATTTTCTCCAATATATTATATATTATTATTTATATTATTTTACTTGTTTTTTCTGATGATAGACCCTCCAGCTTATCCCTTTTTCCTGTTCTATTGTTTCCCCCCTTCCCTCAATGGTTCCCCCCCCCGTTTTCTTTCCCTTTTTGTTTTATGGCCCCTCGGGGCTTTAAGAAGTGCTCTTTTTGTCTTCGACAAATTCCACTTACAGACGAGCACGATCTTTGTCTTTTTTATTTGGAGGAAACCCATCTCACCCAGTCGTCCACTGTGTGCAGGAGTTTTTCCAAGCAGGCTATTAAGCTGTGGCGCCAACTATTGAAATCCTTTCTCTACGAAAAATCTCTCAACCCTGCTATGGAGGCTACAGCCCTCCCTTCCTCCAACCCTCCTCGCCAGGAGACTGCTAAATCAACTACTAGCCCTGTTGCCCACTCTCTATCCAGCATGACTTCTTTACCTGTGAAATCCAAGAACTCTAAAAAAAATGCCTAAGTCGGCTTCCTCCAAGGTTCAGCCACGGTCTTCTGATCCTGCAAATAAGAAAAAGGACAAGGAGAAACCTAAGAGGCAAAATGACTTAGCCAATCCAGCTACCACACCTCTTTCTATACTTCCTATACAGGTGCAGGATTCTTCGAGGGACAATATTGGGCTTTCCGACAGGGAGGAACGTGCTATACCTCCAGCCCAAGAAGCTCATAGTATTCTGAGCATGTCTCCGAGTTTGGGCCAATTTGGGGCTGTTGCACTGTCCAGCCCGGCCATAGCCCCTTTCAGCCCTCAATCTTCAGGGTGGGCAGATAACGAGGCTGTCGGAACGGGAGTCTGCTCCATGCACTCCTAGGAAAATTAAGGAGAAATGCTAACATGCCTCTCTGTACCAGCCTCCTAGGCTTGAAAAGCAGTATTACCATCCAGAGAGTTTACCTCCTTATGGTCATCCATGCCCTGACCGATATCTTCCCTATCCATACCAGGGCTAATGGCTACCATGATCAATACAGAGGGTCGGACTACCCTCTACCACCCAGGTATCCTCCTGTAGCTCCTCCACAGCAAACATTGTTGCAGTGCCAAGGGGATGTCTCCACTCCTCAAGCTGCACCATCTCGAAAGAGACCGATGATACAGACGCCTTCTGCATCGCCTAAACAACTTAAGCTTCATAGAGGCCATGCCTCGGTACAGGCTACCATGCTGTACGACCATGATACGGAACCTTTCTCTGTATCTACTCAATCAGATGCTGAACCTATAGTATCAGCCCCGGTACCACGACCACCACCGTCGACCTCTCAGTCGTCTCAAGGTGCCAAATCATCGTCATCTGCCGAATCCAAAGCTCCTGATGCTGGTGCCACTGGCAATATCTCACAGTCCTCTTTGGAGAACTACACGTCATATGCACAACTTATCTTGCGCAACGGACACCCATCTAAAAAAGCTCCTGGTACCGCCACAGGTGGCGAATCAACTCGCGTGGTGGGCCTGCCCCCACAACTTGCTGGTCGGCAGACTGTTCCGGCCGCCTCCTCTGTCGATCCAGGTGACGACAGATGCCAGCCCCCCAGGTTGGGGAGCCCACTGCCAGGAACTTCAGATACATGGACTATGGTCGAAGGGCGAAAGAATATTCCACATAAACCAACTGGAAATGTTGGCCATCATAAAAGCCTTTCAGGCTTTCCTCCCCAGAATCATGGGGAAATCGGTACAGCTCGTGACTGACAATAGCACGGCCATGTACTACAAAAACAGACAAGGAGGAACCCAATCACGTCCTCTTCTTCGTCTCACCATAAAGTTTTGGGAGGCCATACATATTTCATCGGCGGAGAACTACTTGGCAGACCGCCTAGGCAGGCTCCCCACCAGGACACACGAGTGGGCCCTCAACGACACTGTTTTCCAGAACATCTGCCGCAGATGGGGTTAGCCAACAATAGATCTTTTTGCCTCCCATATCAATGCCAAGTGCCCCAGATACTGCTCAAGGGCGGACATGGACATGGCCTCTCTCGGGGATGCATTCATGATCTAGAGAACTCAGCAATGTTGCTCAAGACAATAACCAGGATCATCCAGTACCAAACAGATGCAATTCTCATTGCCCCATGGTTTGCCCACCTGAGAGAGATAACACAAGGACTGTTCCACTTACCTCCGATACCGTCTCTCCTCTCCCAGAGCGATGGGGCAATTCTCCATCCCGATGTCTGATCCCTACATCTGACGGTGTGGAGGATAATGCCAGATTTCGTGCAATCTTAAACCAGGCTAGGAAGCCATCCACTTCTTGCCTGTATCGTAATAAATGGAAATCCTTCCTCAAATTCACTGAACCTAAGGGACTTACCCCAGTCCCATCATCTCTCTCGACTCTACTTACCTTTATCATGTATCTCTTTAACCTTGGACTGGCACATTCCATCATTAAGGTCTACATTGCAGCAATAGTGGCTCACCAGTCTCCCAGATCTAGTTCCACTACACTTTTTTCCCATCCCATACTCAAGATATTCCTAAAGGACTTGAAGAATGTTTGCCCTCCATCACAGAAAATTGTGCCTCAATGGACACTGCAGCTCGTTCTTGAGGTGCGTACAAAGCCACCATTCGAACCCGTAGCTACCTGTAATGAAAACTTACTCTCTCTGAAGGTGGCATTCCTCGTGGCAATTACATCCGCCAGGAGAGCTAATGAGCTAGCTGTTCTCAGATCGGACTCTCCCTATCTTCAGATGCACCCTGAGAAGATCACCTTGTACCTAGATGTGTCCTTTCTGCCCAAGGTGGTGTCGGAATTCCACGTAAACCAACTCATCGTACTTCCGACCCTATTTCCATCTCCATCCACACCGCTTGAGCATAAGCTCCATACTCTGGATGTGAGAAGAACCATCGCCTTTTACCTCCACAGAACCAAAACTTTTAGACATTCTCCACGTCTCTTCTTTTGCTACCATGGCATTAACAGGGATGCTCTCCACAAACAATATCAAGATGGATAGTGTAGTCGATACAGTTGGCATACTAACTTGCAGACAAGCCAGTACCAGAGCAGCTTAAGGCACATTCTACCTGAGCAGTTTCCACATCGACTGCTCTACATTGCAGCATTCAACTTCATAACATCTGCAAAGCGGCCACTTGGTCCAGCCCTCTGACATTTGTCAAGCACTACCGCCTTGATGTCAGAGGCAAAAATGATGCCACATTTGGAAGGACGATCCTGTCATCTCTGCTACCATGACGGTCCTCCATCCGGTGAGTCAGCTTGCTAATCACCAATTTGTGTGCATTCACAGAGGCCACTATGAAGAAAGCTAGGTTACCTACCTGTAACCATGGTTCTTCTAGTGGACCTCAGTGAATTCACACATCCTTCCTCCCCGCTGTCTGTCACGGTACTGTTCTATTTATCCACTCTATACTGTAACGGCATACCAAGGGAAACTGAAAGGAAGGTTGAGGAGGAGGCGCTCATACCCTGCGGCGGGGGGGGACTAACTGACCTTTTTTTCCTGGCTCTAGAATCTTCCGAATGTCCTGCACAGGCGCAGGATAAACCCATTTGTGTGAATTCACAGAGGTCCACTAGAAGATCCATGGTTACGGGTAGGTATCCTAACTTTTTCTACAAACTAGTTTGTTTTTCTGGTGCTTCATGGTTAGCCGCAAACTATCGCAAACCATCAGGGTTTTTTTTGTTTTTGTTTTGTTTTTTTGGTTCATGTCCCTCTCTATTTCAGACTTTTCTTCCATTGACAGATGGCATGTCTCTCTTTGACAGATTCTTGTGGACACTGTTTGGGCTTTGTCCTACCTAACAGATGGTGGCAACGAACAAATACAAATGGTGATAGATTCAGGTGTTGTTCCTTTTTTAGTTCCCCTTCTGAGCCATCAGGAAGTCAAAGTTCAGGTAACGGTTTTTATTGTATTTTAACTGCATTGTAACTGAAATAATAATTGCCAAAAGCAAGATGGATTTGATTTAATTCAAATGGATTAAATCACAATTTAAATTTTAAAAGTTGCAATTTCTTCAAAAAAAACATTGTGTTTTTTTAGTTTAAACTGGGGTTTAAAATTGTGGTTTACTGTAAATTAATTTGATTCAAAAAATTATTTATTTTTATCCACCCTGGCCAAAAACCAATCAATAATGTTGTTCTGTACTGAAAGAAAAAGGCAATACTGTAATTCAAATTTTCATGTGCTTATTTAATGGCATGTGCATTATTAGGGTATCCAGGTCATCAACATTTTATTCCCTGCGATTTCAGGCTGAATATCTGAGACCTTGAAACAGGCACTTACGATGTCATGTGAGTGGATGTGTCATCAAGAATTTTAAAATGGTGGGTGTGTATCAGAGAACCTTGAGCTTTTAAGAAATGGAAAAAACAAGGATATTTCAGAGTGTGTCTAAATGTCTCAAATTCTGAAGCCTTGATAATAAACCTCAAAAGCTAGTGTTGCCAACTTGGGACCATCTCATTCCCTGAGATGTCCAGTCCTAAGCGTGAGACCTGGAGAATGGATCCCCAAAACTGAATCACAGGGCCAAAGCTTGAGGTTTGGCAAGCTGTGATTACTACTCTGTTCATGATATCTAATCTGGCTGGGCTGTGAAAAATTGCTGTAACTAGTTGTCATTAATTCCTTTCCCCAATGATTAAACTATAAGTATATTACATTAATGGGACATGGTGGTCATAGGATGTGGTGGCGCTGTGGGTTAAACCTCAGAAGTCTCTGTGCTGCAAGGTCAGAAGACCAGCAGTTGTAAGATCTAATCCATGTGACGGAGTGAACTCCCATCGCTTGGCCCAGCTCCTGCCAACCTAGCGGTTCGAAAGCATGTAAATGCGAGTAGATAAATAGATACCTCCACGGTAGGAAGGTAACGCCGTTCCGTGTCTAGTCACGCTGGCCACGTGACCACGGAAGCTGTCTATGGACAAACGCTGGTTCTATGGCTTGGAGACGGGGGTGAGCACCGCGTCCTAGAGTCGGACACGACTGTACTAAATGTCAAGGGGAGCCTTTACCTTTACTGTACTTATATTACATTACAAGTCACAGTTGTAACCTAATGAAGAATAATGTCATCAGTTTTTTGGTGCAGCTGGAACTTTCAAAGTTAATGTTATAGTTAGTATGTGCAGCCTCACTTAGTGATAGAGGAATGTCACCTGCTTCAAGTTCTGCATTGTGCTGTGCTTTGTTCTGTTGTCTTGTTCTCTGCTGTGGTTGTGGAGGCAATGATGATGTGAACTGGAAGAGATGGTGTTTTTCACCACAGATCAGTAGCATTCAAATAAGCTTTTGAAGAGGCAACTAAAAGTAAGATTTATTTATTTTCTGTGAAACAGAAAAGCACAGTTTGAAAATTGTGACTGAAGTAGTAATTTACTTTTTGAGGGACTTGGATGTATAACTGTAATTGCTTGCTTTTTAAAAGTAACTTTCCAAGCTATGGTCATTATCCCAAGTTCTGATGGGGTAGATGTCAAGAAAAGTTTCTACATATTGAGCCTTAACCTTGTACATGGAGGATGTGTACCCTTTTGGAGACTTCTGTGAGGACCCCATTCTTCTTTTTCTGTTCTGTTATATCGTCATTTACCCAATGGATTATCAGCAGCTATTGATACTATAATATCAATTCCTGTTTACAAGAAGCTGTTCATATGTGAATGGTAGTGACGTTTAGAGAGAATCTTAAAATTTATGTAGCTGACCACAAACAGAAATCTGAATTAGTGGGTGTGACCGGCCCTTACCTAATCTTGTCATGTTTTAAAATAACCTTCCTTTAAAGGGCTTTATCCAGCCATTAACCATATTAGACCAAGCAGTTAAAGAATGAAAAAAATTATATTTTCTTTATTACAAAGTAACAGTTTCTAGAGAAAGAGTTCAACATCAGGTTTTCTTCAGTTACAGCCCAACTGCCCAAACACACCCTCCTTCTTCAGTTACACTCTTTCTTTTTCTTCCATTTCAGCTATCCAGGCATCTTCTCCTTAGGGCTTTTCCAGATAGGCTGGGCACCTGCACCCCCGAGCCATTCACATTGTTTTCCCTGTTACCATGCAGATTGCCAAGGTTTTGTCACACTCCTCCCTCTGTAGAAATCATTGCCTCAGGAGTAATGAACTCTACAGCAGTGGTCCACAACCTTTTTCGAACCGCAGACCAGTTTAGCGTGCGGGCAGAGGGGGTGGAGGGTGTCCGTGCAGGTGTGTGTGGTGTGTGTGCGTATGTGTCCTTGTGGGTGGGGTGTCTGTGCATCAGTGTGTCTATGTGGGGGGCATGCGTGCGGGGGCAGTGTGTCTATGTGGGAGGCAGATCTGTCTCCATGTCCTGGTCCTGCCAAGGTTGGGGACCCCTGCTCTGCAGCATATATTTAGATAACATTTCAAATATAGTAGATTTCACATATTTTTTGTTACCATACTTAAGAGTATGGCCCTCTCTCCATTAGAGAGAGATCTGAGTTCCCAAGAGGCTGTAAAAAGAGACTGAACAACCATTTGTAGTTTTCCACTTATTCATGTAATGTTTATTATATTTTCCAATGCATATAATATCAATATCAATCAACAGCAGATATGAAGAGGCCTCTCTCACACACATTCATCCAATACTCACACCAACCCTGAAGTCCTACAGTTTAATGGAGTGTGCTTTCGCTGTCTCCTGTTGATTGGCCATAGACACATAAAGTGTGGGTGTCCATTGCAGCACTGTTCAGGAACACACCAGCCATAGAAAAACTCCTCTGACTTCATAAAATGAGTCATTTTTCCAGCTTCTGGTTTTACCCGAGATCAGCAATTCCAGCCCAAAACAGATCTTACCTACATGTCCTACATGTCCAGATATCCATTTGTAGATACATTGCTCTCAGACCTCTCAATGATCCATCTTGTTTACTCCCCATCACTTTACTGGTGCACGTCTCCATTCCCAAAATGCAATTGTCATTCTCCATTTTCTTTAAGTCCTTGATGCAGTCTGGAACCCACTCACACTGTCGCACTTTCATATATCTTTCAAAACAATTAGTTCTTCTAGCGTCTATAACATACCAAAATGCACACTTTTCTTTTAAAAAATCACAAATAGATTATACATTGTTATATTTAATTAACTTACTAACTACCATCCTTATTTGGTATTATTTGGACCCGTATTTCAGTCCCTTGCTGGGAGAAATGTGGCATATAAATAAAATTAATAATAATCATTACATTTCCACGCATTTCTTTCAATTTTACATTTTTCATTTATCTTTTTATTTCATAGCTATTTTGCTATTAGACTTTGTTGGAAGTCTATTTTGAATATAAGTTGTGGTCATCACATCTTTATCCCCAAATTTCTTTGGCAGTTCAGCATTGGCTAACATGCACCTTATCATTTCAAAATTATATTTTTTTTCTCTCTTCTACTCCATTTTGTTCATGAGTATAAGGAACTGTTTTCATGTATAACATTCCTTACTCCCTAATTTAAAAAATGCATTGTCTGTGAATTATATTTACTGCTAAAGGTTCCCCTTGACAATTTTTGTCCAGTCGTGCCCGACTCTAGGGGGCGGCGCTCATCCCGCTCTTCAAGCCATAGAGCCAGCGTATGTCCGAAGACAATCTTTCCGTGGTCACGTGGCCAGTGTGGTTTAGACACGGAACGCTGTTTACCTTCCCACCGAGATGGTACCTATTTATCTACTCGCGTTTGCATGCTTTCGAACCGCTAGGTTGGCGGGAGCTGGGACAAGCAACGGGCGCTCACTCCGTCGCGTGGATTCGATCTTACGACTGCTTGGTCTTCTGACCCTGCAGCACAGGCTTCTGCGGTTTAGCCCACAGCGCCACCACTGCTACTGTCTATTAATATTGCCTTTGATTTTTTTCCCCCAGATTTATTACTGACCATTGCCACATACTTTTTAAACATTAATATGGTTTGTCTTTTTTGTTTGGGGTTATTTCTTTGTTCATATCTTGCCTTTTCCTTGCTTACTCAGACTTAAAATATTTATTTTTGTTAACTTATAGTTGTGAACATAAGTCTTTCAAAATATGAGTACTTTTTACCACGGCAGAAATATTCTCATAACTTACATTGTTTTCTATCTTCCTTACAACTGTCATGTGTGTCAGCTTCATTTTCCTCTGACTTTACCAAGTTGAATATAGGTTTTAAACTCTCGTCTGACTTTTGTTCTGTGACCAGTTCTAAGGGAATTTTCTCCTTAAAACCATACAGATTGCCTTCTCCCTCTGTCTGCTCAGTTGACCTGGCAGGTTCTTGATAATTACTTGAAGAGCATTTTTATCAGAAGATTCCCCTTCAATTCCTGTCTCAGACTGCACCAAGGGTTGTATTTGCCCCCGAAATTGGTTTGTTACATACACATTCTTTACATATCTAGCCAGATAATTTCCAATTAGGCATGGAGCCAGGATATCATCATACATGGCTACCTTCCATTGCAGTTTCTAATTATTATACTGGATATTGTCATTGACCACAGCTACAGGAAATAGTGGTGCTCCTACTCCTTTTACCAGCACACTTTCGTGAGGTAAAATATTTTCCTTAGGTATCACATCAGGGTGACATACAAACAGTTGCAAACATGTATCTCTCACACCCCAGACAACTTTGTTTTGAATTTGAATTCTCTCTCCATATTCTTCCACTTATTTATTGTGATAAATACTGTAAACAGTATTTTATCTCCTAACTTGGCTCAGTCTCATTCAATTCTGACATTCTTGTCTCCATAGCAACCTGCCTGCTAATTTCTCCATATAATGAGCAGTTTAACTCTTGGCTCAAAATTTTTAAAATACAGTAGACTGGTGTCTCTGTATATCCTTTTCTGGGCAGGAATCTCAGAAATGTCCTTCTTTACTAGATACAAAACAGACTTTATTTCCTGTTTTCCCCATAACTGTTCTTCTCTGGCCATGCCTTCATACTGCTGAGGAGATTTTTCCTTCCCAGTCTGCGCTTCAGACACTTTCTTTCTGTCCCCTGGCCACTTCATATAATTTCTCTTCTCATTATAATGAGGTTTTATTACTTCTCTCAAAGTTACTAATTTGTCAGTTAATGCAGCTATCTCAGCAACAGTTTTGGGTTGTTTCTCTTGTCACGACCCAGTTTCCTGTGAGGGAGAACTTGGTCGGTCGGACAGAGAGTCATTGGAAGTCTAAGCACTCCTATGCAGCTGGGTTGAGTCCTGGTGACCTCAGCCAGGGCGTACAACAAACTTCTTCTTACAAGCCTGCCCTAAAGAGATACTTGATGACCCTTAAGAAAACTCAACAGGAAGTTAAGCACGAGCTTTGTAGTCCTAAGATCTACTTGGCTCAATAAGGTAGGACTCAGTGTCTTAATGTGGCCTTGCTTCCCCCACAGGGTATAAGCTAAGACAGCTTTGCTGTTCAAGAGACCAAAAGATTTTATAATTATTATTTTTATTGAAAAAAATATAGATTTACAGAATAAAGTCAGTTTGATGCAAAAGCATAGCGAATAAGAGTTTTCAAGGCTTGTTGCAAAATACAAATACAGTGGGGTCTCGACCTACGGAATTAATCCATATTGGAGCGGGGTCCGTAGGTCAAAAAGTCCGCAGGTCGAAAATGCATTCCCCATAGGAATGCATTGCAAACCAATTAATCCGTAACCCGCCACCCCCCAACGCACACATAAAATTAAAATAAATGTAAAAAAATTTAACCTTACCTTTTCAAAGCCTTCCAGGGTCCCCTCCCCACCGTCATTGCCTCTGCCAGAGACCTCTCAGAGCTCAGTCGCCGCCATTGCTGCTGTTGGAGGACTCCAAGGGCTTCGGCGCCACTGTCAGAGGCCTCTCGGAGCTCACCCGCCCCCACCAACACAGGCTTTCCCAGAGTGGACCAGGCCTACCAGGGGAGGGCTTCCCCCGGTAGGCCCGGTCTACTGCCTGGGAAAGCCTGGTAGGCTGGGCTTTCCAGGGGAGGGCTTCCCCCAGTAGGCCTGGTCTACTCCCCTGGTAGGCCCGGTCCACCCTGGGAAAGCCTGTGAGGGTGGGGGACCTCCAAGAGGCATCCCATGGCAGCGGGGAAGGTCTGCGGAGGTCCCCCTCGCGGCTGATCATGCCTCCGGAGAAGCTCCGGGGGCACGATCGGTGGTGAGGCAGACCTCTGGACGCCTTCCAGGGCTTCTCCGCCGCCATGGGAGGCATCTCGAAGGTCCCCCCTCCAAGAGGCCTCCCATGGCAGCAGAGAAGCCCTGGAAGGCATCCGGAGGCACAATTGGTGGCCTACGGACTGGAGAGTCTGAGCATGGCCGGGATCGCCTGGCACGGCTCGGCTTCCAGCAGCAGCGGGGAAACTCCAGATGCCTTCCAGGGCTTCTCCACCGCCATGGGAGGCATCTCAGAGGTCCCCCCCACTGCCGATAGTCCCTCCGAAGCACTGCTGATAGTGCCTCTGAAGGAGAAGCCCTGGAAGGCATCTGGAGGCAGATCCGCAGCCTATGGACTGGAAGGGGGAAGCAGGGAAAGCGCCAAATTTGAATTTGGCGCTTTCCCCGCCTCCCTCTTCTGGTCCGTAGGTCGATTCTCCGGCCACAAGTCAAAGTGAAAATTTGCAGCCGGAGAAGTACAGATCTCAAAAAGTTCATAAGTGGAGTCGACTGTAAGTCGAGACTCCACTGTAAGGCAAATAATTCTCTTTTAATTACAATAGCTCTAAAAATCTCTAATAATCTCTAAAAGCTTCCTTAAGGTAGGCAAAAGGCATAAAGCCCCCCTTCCTTTCTTTCTTCCTTGACTCCCTACATCTTCCACAGTCCTTTCCCTGCATGGAGCAACAGGCAAAAAGACCTAGAAAAATCTATGGCTCCATCCAAAATGGAAACAAAGGAACAAGATGGAAAAAAAAAGTTAGAACAAAAGATAGAACTCTGCACATAGTAAAAGTTCCTTTTTCAATTTTCTTGGTGCCACCCTTCTTCATCTCTCACGTTGTCATCCAATCACGGCATAAGGTGATAGAAGCAGTCCCTCCTCTTCTCATGAGAAACAGCTGTTGTTTTTCTCAGTCCATCACCTTCTACTCCATAACAAGTGTCTGGTCTTCTTATCTTGTATTGGCTTGTACTGGCCTAAAGTAAAAACATTCCCCCAGCCCTCTGGAAATACATTCTCAACATACAAAATCATTCATACACAGAACCAATATGGAATCCATTTTACATTGTTCACAACTACATATCCCATCTTCAGTACATGATTTAAACCACGTAATCTGATCCATCAATATTCCTGACACATAGTATTATAAAATTGTTCTAGTCCAATTAACACTGACCCTTTGTCCAACCAGATAGTAACTATTCCAGAAAACAACCTAACTGAATGTAAGTTTCATCATGTTTATTCCTTAAATTTCTCAATTCCCTCCTATGATGTTCAGCAGTTAATCCAGACCTCTGTTTTACCCTGTTCTTTTCTAATTCATAATCCTGGGCCTTCTCCAGTCTAATTTCTCCATAAATTTCTGCTAAGCTCCCACAAATCTGAGATCTAAGATAACCCATCCTTTCTTCAGGCTTGGCTTGATTCAACACAGTTTCATTCAAAAGTTGTAAGAAAAAGAGTCCACATTATCCGCTTTATAGTATCTGGAAAATCTCTTCATATCTATCTGAGATCTATTAGTTCCATTTTCATTACTTGAGGAGTTGGCTGCCAATTCTAGTTCCCTCCTTCTTAACTGAAAGTCCATTTTTCTCTCTCTTAATCTTATCCTTTTTTCTTTTTCTAGCTTTTCCTTTTCTATTTCTGGCTTCCTTAATCTCATCAGTTCATTTTCTTTTTCTATATTTAGCTTTTCTTTTTCTAATTCTACTTCTCTTAACCTGATCCTACCATTTCCATTTCCATTTCTCTTTTTTTAATTTTGAGATTTCCAAATTCTGGAATATCAACAGGGCTTGTGTGCATAACCTCCCTAGTTCTCTTAACATCAGCTTGTTCTGATTCAAGAATCTGTTTCCATTTCTGGTTGTTATTGTTGTTGTTGGTGGTGGTGGTGGTGTCCTTTTAGGAGACGTATATTTGTATTTCCTTACAATTACTCCAAAATGTTTACCTCAGGAAATATGTTTAAAATCTTCCTGACACTTATCTGTGTCTAGGCTAAGTTTTTTCAGTGACTCCTTACTTTACCCAAAACTTTTAACACAGCAAGTCACTACACCAACCACTTAGTCACCTTCAACTTACCAGCGATTCTCTTACCAGTTTATTTCAGAGAATCACTTTGATGGAATAAGTTTTATCAGTGACTCCTTATTTTACCATGACTTGTACCTCAGGAGGTCACTGCACCTATATCTTGGTTTCCCTCAGCTTTCCAGTGATTCTCTTACCAATTTACCTCGAACTTTTACCTTAGAGAATCTCTCTAACTGACAGGGTAACAGACAGTTTTCTGTCAATTCTAAACTCCTCCAGTGAGTTAGAATTTCAGCCATCAGGTCTCTAAATCCCACTACACAGGATTTTCCAAGACCTCTCCTGGATCTCCAAACTCTCCACTGGATTTTCAGATCCCACCTCGCTGCCACCAATTGTTACCATGCAGATTGGCCAAGGTTCTGTCACAGTGGTTGTTACCTCCAGTTGAAAAAGGGTATTTGCTCAAACTTCTTTACCTGTCCATCATCAAAAATGAGTATAGGGCTTGACTTTTAGGTACTAAGAGATCACTTTTGTTTTATGCAAGTTGTCAAGCAATAGCAGCTGACAAGTAACAGAATTATAAGGGACGTCTTATATATATTGGGATTGCTGCTATTTACTAAAGAAAACTACTTTTTAAAATATTTGTGCTGGTTGCCGCACTGTTAAAACATTGGAGGTTTCCATTTCTCTATCACTCCAGAGAGCAGGAACGGAACCAGTGGGTAGAAATTGAAAAGCAAGTTTTGACCAAAGAGAGGTCAGAAAGAATTATGTAGTAATGGATCTGCTTTTCTGTTTGGTTAAGCAACATTAGTTTCGATGAGTTATTCTCTCTGAGTTGGGCTTACTGTACAAGTTGATTTTAACACTTTTTTTCTGTGTACCTGCAAGAAATTATTTTTTATCCACTTTATTGTTATATTTAATTTTGATTTTACAAGTGAAGTTCTAGAAAATGGGAGCAACTGGATCACATAAGTACAGTTTACATTCTGCACAAGATTCAGGAAGGGCATGTGAGTGTGAGGATCATTCCTGTGACTCAGCATATGTGGTGCCCACATATTCGTACTTCAATGGAGCAGGCCCAATTGAAGGTTCATAGACCTTTTAATTGAAGCTAAATCATATTGTTTCTCAAAACAGACTGCGGCACTCAGAGCTGTGGGTAACATAGTAACTGGTACTGATGAGCAGACTCAGATTGTTCTCAATTGTGATGTCCTTTCCCATTTTCCAAATCTCCTGACACATCCAAAAGAAAAAATAAATAAGGTGAGTACTAACCTTTGTGATTTTGAAATTTTCCTTTTTTTCAATTAGTACTTTAAAATCACTTTTGTTATGAAGGAAGAAACAATAACATAAGACCAGGCAGGAACTGGGGTAATGAATATAAGATAAAATTGATCAGTTAAGCAGATGTTGCTGAAGGTCTGCATGAGTGCTTGGAGGAGCTGACAGAGAAGTATTTGTATGTACATAGTTAATAAAAATAAGAAGTCTAATTTCTCTGTCTGAGGGCTTGCACCTGCCTAGTTAGTTAGTTTGTCCTGTAATGCTGCTTGCCAAACATTAGTATCTCAACTTGAAAATGATGTTAGTCTAAGCTTTCCATTAAGAGACAGTTATTAATTTAGTTATTGGCAAAGAATGATTATAAGAACAAATTCAAATTTTCATTAAAAAATTGAATAATAACAAACCTGGTGCTGGACATAAGAAATAAATCTTTTAACTTGTTATTTCACCAATTTCTCTAAACATCATTTCTCAAAAGGTTTGTTATCTTACTACGTGACTACCACATGTGAAAATATGAACCAATTTCCCCGCAGCCCCTCCAATCTTTAGAAGTAGTAATGTAACTGATTTGATTTAAACCTATCCGGATAAAGTACTGTATAATCTGTGGAGAGTTTGCAATTGTACTCCTTGAGTTTGCCAGTCACTGGTCTAAGGGATACTTGTTAGGAGTACTAGGCATCATCAGAAATCATAATGGCACTTTCCCACACCAGCTTAGTACCTTGGGAATAGTAGCATGTGGTCTTGAAGAGCAGATGGTGTGATTTAGAGCTTAAACTTCTCTGGCTTAGATAAGACTAGCTTTTCAAATAGGAGATTTGTCTGAGAGGTCTGCAAGGAGATTGCTGTGAAAGAGTAACCTCCATTAGCTGCAGTGAAAAATAGTAAATATCTCCTAGGTGTATTCTCAACTAGAAATGAGCACGAACCTCAGTACAGACCTTCCCCTGCCTCCCTGGCGTGCACTCCTCTCCTCCTCTTTGGCTGTTGAACCAGTCTCTGGCAGGAGCATGGGCTTCCCTGAACTCCTCCATGGTTGATCAGATAAGGAGGCAGAACAGGCAACCTGTGCTTCTGCTGGGGACTGGTCAAACAATCAAAAAGGAGAAGAGGAGTGCAGTCTGACTGGTGAGTGGGCCATTGGCCGGAGAGGTGGTGGAAGGATGCTTATGAACTGGCAGGAACCTCCAAACCAAGATTTCTGCCCATCTCTATTCTCAACAAAGCCATAGTCTGTGGACTATTACCAATAAAAAGATATTTTAATCTATAGAGGCATTTGTGTTTCCATTCCTTATAAACTGAAAAATTATCATTATTTCATTATTATTGAAATCTTATTATCTGTTTTCACTGTTAACATAATGAAGCCTCAGCTAGAGAATCTCCTTATTAGGTGTATTTTGTTCTTAAATAAACTGACAACTTTTGTATTCAGCCATTTAACCACCACAACAAAAGAAAATCTAAGTAGGAAAAACTATTTAGGAAGTATTGAACAATTGGTGCAGAGAGAGACAGCCTTACATATTGTTCAGTTGGGGATTTGCTAGATATTTTGTCAGCTCCTTAATTAAATATAATAGAAGCCATTCCAGTTCTAAAATCTAGAAATCTAATGCAGTGTCATTTTGCATTGTTTTTGTCAGGTTATGAGCCATATCTAGAGTTGCTAAATTATAAGTGCATCTTGTACTTAGACATTTGGGGAGGTGGCTGTCTTTAGAACTCTTGGCACAATGCATTCAGTGCTGAAACTGGGACCTAAAGTAACATGCTCATGGCACGTGTACATGGACTCTTTTCTTCTGGAGTGAGCTGATGTGGGCTAGGTAGGGTTGCTTGGAGTTGGGTAGAAGTCTGGTATGCCATTTGGTGCAGTCCTTGAATCCAAATGGCGTACACACTTCAAGTGAACCTATTTGGTTGGGCTCCTTCCTCTGTCAGTTTCACACATTGTGAAGTGGCTTAAAAAGAAAAATATTTAAAAATAAAAATTGCAAAATAGGATATCAGAAGGATAGCTGGTGAAGTATCTCCCCTTTGGCTATTCCCTTGGCCACTGTTGTATCTGACTCCCAATAACTCCCATTAGAACTTGAGGTCCTCAGCTTTAAAACGTTTTCTGCCTATGTCATGTATCACTGCTATCAAGGATAGTTGCTTTTTGTATTTGCGAAGGCTTTCACAGCCGGGATCTAATGGTTGTTGTGAGTTTTTCGGGCTCTTTGGCCGTGTTCTGAAGGTTGTTCTTCCTAACTCCCAGAGACCTCTGGGTAGAGTGGGCGGCACAGAAATTCAATAAATAAATAAATAACGTTTCGCCAGTCTCTGTGGCCAGCATCTTCGGAGGACAGCTCTCTGTGCTCTGGTGTAGTTGGCTTGGGAATGGACTATTTACGGCTGTGAGATGGGCTTTTGTCTTATTCTGTAGATGGGTGATTAGTGTATCTTGTTGTGGGTGTATTGTCATGATAAGAAGGATTATCTGTCACTGTGATTGATGGGTGTCATTAGCTGGTCTTTTGTGTGTAGTGATTTCCGGTCCTTGTGGCTACTCAAAGAGCCCAAAAAACCCCACAACAACCAATAATTGCTTTTGTTACTGACACCTGCCCAATCTCTGACAGCAGTGACACTTTGATCAGCACCTCTGAGGAAAATGTTGTGTTATAGTATAGATAAAGAACATTGGCCAGAAGCAGTAATGAAGCCACATTTTTCATTTGTTAAATGTTCCCTTTGGAACAAATTTCCTAGAGGTCCACCTTATTTTTTAGTATCGGGTCAATATGTTTTTATTATTTCAGACATTTTAATGATTTGCTGCTTTAAACCAGTGGTTCCCAATCTTGGTCCCCAGATGTTCTTGGACTAAAACTCCCAGAAGCCTTCACCACTAGCTGTGCTGGCCAGAATTTCTGGAGGTTGTAGTCCAAGAACATCAGAGGACCCAAGGTTGGAACCACTGCTTTAAGCACTGCTAATTGGACGGTTGCTATTCTGCTATGTTCATCTGTAAAATGAAGAAATTATAATTTATTTTGTTCTAATGATATTAATTGTGAGGCATAATCTTTCATAAAATCTTGTTGACTTAGATCCATTTTAGGTTTATAAGCTATCTATTCAAAACAGGGTGTCGTGCACCCCCCCAGTGATCCCTGTGTGTTTTGCCCCTCACCCAGGTTCACCTTTCAACACGACTTGTCCTTTTCCCCTTTTTCGCTGCCACCAGAAAATATTATCCTCACTATATCAATTATGAATTTCACACTCTTGCTGCCAAATAAAACGAGGTTTATTTAAGGATAAATAAGAAGGAAAATCATGGATGTTTTATTATCATTCATTCATTAAACGTGGATTTGATTACTTATAAGCTTGCATGTACACATTTTCTTTGATCAAGATCTAAATATTTTCTGACTGTCAGTGTACTTCTAATTCCTTTTAACTCTTTAATATTCTCTAACTAACCAACTGTCAAATATCTTGTCTAAATACTTCTCAGTCTTCTCTCTGTCTAAACGCTTCACCATCTTTTTCCTAACTGACTCTCTGTCTCTCTCTCACTGCCTCTCTTGCCCTCCCAGTTTTTTGACTCCGCCCCTCCTGTCCTGTCATAGGCTCTAAAATGACTGACAGGAGTAATGTGTGAGCTGTCCGCCACACAGGGTATATGTTTTGAATGGTGATTTAGAAATGCCTTAATTAACAGATAAATGTAAAGTTACAATGAGAAATGCTTCCTTCAAACTGTTCTGTATTTTCCTGGAGCATATAAATGTTTGAGTACTTCCAGGAAGTCTAATTGTTCTTTCATCTCACCTAACTTCTGCCAGATGTTAGCAATAAAGGTTGGCTCTTTCTGCATTTCGGCGGGTTGATGCGGTTCAGCCAATTGGGCCCACGGGTGTTGCATGGGTGCCCTGAATTCCGTGCCCTGCCTCCTCCCCTGGGTGCTACTCAGAGGAGGAGGCAGGATAGGGAAGCCTGAGGCACTGCTTCTGAAACGGCGCCCATCTAAGAGGTTGGGGCTTGGAATCCAGAGTGTTCATGCAACGAACCATGCCAAAGTGCAGTTAGTGCCTGTCTTTAGTTAGCAGAAATATAATTTTTTTTATTCTTCTTTTTCAGTTGTTAAAGATATTAAGGCTCACTTTTAGAAAAGCTTGGGATATTATTTCCTGATGCTGTGAGATTAGGAACAGACTTTTTACATACTTCTTCCACTTTTCTCTCAACACTGGATAGAAGTGAACACCTATAAGAGATTTGTTTATGTTATCTCTGTTAAGCCCCTTGTTCTTGGGTCTGTTGTGTTTGATTTTTTTTTTTAAATGATCAGTTGGAGAGGAAAGTCATCAGTTGCTGAAGTCTCATGAAATCCTGATATAAAATGCTTTTATTTGATTACACATTGAAATTAAAAATAGGGCAAGACTGTAACTTGGTGGTAAAGCACATATTCCTTGCATTCAAAAAGGTCCTTGCACCTCTAGCTAATATCTCTGCTCTATAAGGCATATCAGCATGTTTTGTTTTGCTCACAGGAAGCAGTTTGGTTCCTTTCCAATATTACTGCAGGAAATCAGCAACAAGTTCAGGCTGTAATAGATGCTGGACTTATCCCCATGATCATTCACCAGCTGGCTAAGGTCAGTCAAATACCAGATTTTCACATTTTTCATATTCTACATGATTGTGTATTTACTGATGATACTTTGCAAGTACAAGTAATTTTTTTACCTTTTAGGGGGATTTTGGAACACAAAAAGAAGCTGCTTGGGCAATAAGCAACTTAACAATAAGTGGTAGAAAAGATCAGGTATGTGTCTCCTAAGTGGTCCAAGTAAGAAATTTAGAAATATTTATAAAGAAAAACAAATGCAAAGCTAACTATCTCATTCTGCTATTTAGGTTGAATACCTTGTGCAGCAGAATGTAATCCCACCATTCTGTAACTTGCTCTCAGTCAAAGATTCTCAAGTGGTGCAGGTGGTTCTCGATGGTCTAAAAAATATTCTAATAATGGCGGGTGATGAGGCAAGCACAATAGCAGAAATTATAGAAGAATGTGGAGGTAAGATATACTTCTATAAGTTGTGATATACATTTGACACCCCACCCCACAAGAGCCCATACCTCTCTTTTTGTAATAATGCACAAAGGGACACATTGTGATATTTAATCGGATGTTTCTATTCTGGCAGGAATACAGTAATGTGGAAGTGAACTTTGTGTTGTCCTTAGATAACTTTTTTAGGCTTCTAGTAGCTGTTCCTTCTCCATCAGGATAGAATGGTGGAATTGCCTGCTGGATGGGTTCCTAAATTTTTGGCAAGATTTCTGCTTTTTGTTACATGAATATTTAAGTACTTAATCTGTGTCCCATCTTTCTGCAGATGGATTTAATGCTGCTTACATACTTTTTTAGTCCAAGCTCTGGTTATTCTGCGTGACATGTGGTATGTGTTATGGGTGGTGCCTACAATCACTCATATGCATATTTTGAAATCTACCACTAAATTGCATTTCATGTTATAATATATAGTCTGCATATTAAGATCATTGAACTGTTTAATCATACAGAATGCTTTTTGAACTTTTGCGGTACTGTGTTGTCTTTGAATAATGTCCAGTCTCATGTAATACATGAAATCTTTTGAGTATTTATTTTTCGTGGTACAACTTCTCACTGTATACTTAAAATAGATTTTATTCTACTAGGTTCAAACTTTAAGCATTCTTACAATCAATTCTTCACTGTGCCTCCCTGACAGGGACTGGACTCAATGATCCATTGGGTCCTTTCCAGCTCTGTAGTTCTAAGATGATGGTGATGATTATTATTATATTATTATTATACCAAGTGGTGGAAGACTTGCCTCAGAATACAGGGATGGAAAGTTACTTTTGCTCCATTCATGAACTACCTATGCTTTTATGAAGAAGTAAATCTACATGCTCATTGAACCTTAATATGAGTGTGCGGTTAATCTGAAAGATGATTTGATTCATCTGGCCCAGCACATGGTTGCATCACTTACGTGATATAAACATAGCTGAGTATGCATATTTTAGGTAATACTTCTGGATTTTTCTGTGGATACTCTCCATAACACCTGAGACACTAATAGTTAAAAGCTGTGGCCAGAATCTTATTGGTATTCATTAATGTCTGTGTAAATTAATACAGCTAATTGTTGTTGAGGTGGGGTGCACCATGGTTTTGCAGTTGGCTGCATGACCAGTCATATGGCTGAGACACATTTTGGCACCTTACTAACAGAAGTTATAGAAAAGAATCTTGGCCAGTGTCTGAAAATATTAAGGCTTGTAAAGGTAATAAATCGTTCTGTTCTCCTGTGTCTCTTCAACCAGGTTTAGAAAAAATAGAGGCATTGCAACAACATGAGAATGAAGACATTTATAAGCTTGCTTTTGAAATAATAGATCAGTATTTCTCTGGTGATGATGTAAGTACCTCTTCCCTTTAGTAGCACATTGGCAGCTTGAAGTGCTATACCCCACTGTTGTTGTATGTCAGATGCATGATTGTAAATGACTTTTCCTGTTGATTCAGTTTTGAGTCTGACTCAGTATAACTTCTAGCCGTGGTAGTCTGGTGAAAAGGCACTCAGTAACATCTTCAAAACAAAATTATGTTATTGCAAATTAAAACAGCAGGTTGCAGCCAGATACAGTGGTGCCTCGCTTAGCGATGTTAATTGGGTCCAAAAAAAACATCGCTATGGGAAAACATTGCTAAGCAAAACACCATTTCCCATAGGAATGCATTGAAAACCGGTTAATCCGTTCCAATGGGAACGGATTGCCGTCCTTAAGCGAAAATCGCCAGAGGAAACATCGCTAAGCGAAACAATGTATCCCCCATTGGAATGCATTGAAACCTATTCAATGCATTTCAACGGGGGGGAAATTCAACAACAAATTAAAAAAGAGTCAGAACAAAGTCAAATTTGGTTAACAAAGGGTTTATTAAGTGCACTTTAACATCATAACACTGCAGGTGATTTCAAACATTTTAAACAGTAATCTTAAACTTTATAAATAACAGGAAAACTTTTTTTAAAAAGCAGACATGAGGCAGGAACTTTAAGTTTAAACACTTTAACTTTATAAATAGCATAGAAAAAAATTTAAAAACAGCAAACATGATACAGGAACATTGGATTGTACAAAACTCTTTAGAAAGTGCATCAGCATACAGAAACTCTTCATGAAGTGCACAAATATAACATTGGATTGTACAAAACTCTTTAGAAAGTGCATTAATATACAGAAACTCTTCATGAAGTGCACAAACATAACATTGGATTGTACAAAACTCTTTAGAAAGTGCATTAATATACAGAAACTCTTCATGAAGTGCACAAACATAACATTGGATTGTACAAAACTCTTTAGAAAGTGCATTAATATACAGAAACTCTTCATGAAGTGCACAAACATAACATTGGATTGTACAAAACTCTTTAGAAAGTGCATCAACATACAGAAACTTCATGAAGTGCACAAACATAACATTGGCTTTACAAAACTCTTTAGAAAGTGCATCAACATACAGAAACTCTTCATGAAGTGCAGAAACATTGGATTGTACAAAACTCAAAACATAAATTTTTAAGGACAGAAACTTTTAACATTTCAACATTGTCAGGCAGTAGACATTACAGAAACATTTTTAAAGTGAACAAGTGAGGCGGAAGCCTCTAAACCACCCGGACCAGTGTTCCCCACATCACTGCAGCAGTCTTCTAGGAGGAGGAGGAGGGGGAGGACAAAGAAGAGATGGTAGAAGGCAACTGGGCACCACTGGTGGAAGGAGCAGGTTCCTCGTCCTGTCTAGGCCTCTTTGTGAGGAACCCCTCCATGGTGAGTTGCCTCTGCCTCCTTTTCAGGATCCCTCTGAAAGGGGCCACGAGCTTCTCATCAAAGCTGTGCACCATCTTATGTGCCATAGCCTTGTCCTTGTGGTACCGCTGTAACAGAGTCTGCACGTTATCCCACTGGGTCAAGAGATCCTTCAGGTCCTTGGTGGACATATGCTCCTCCTCTAGGTCTTCTTCCTCCTCCTCCTCCATAGCCTCTGCCTGCAGATCAACCAGCTTCTGGGTGGTCAGCTCCTGGTCATGGCCCTCTACCAGCTCTGCAATGTCCTCCTCAGTGACCTCGAGGCCCACGTTCCTCCCAAAATCCACAATGTCCTGCCTCACTGTGGACTCAGGTGCAGATGCAGAAGCACCAGTAGCCACACAGTCTGGCTAGAGTGGGCACCACGCAGAGTTCAAGTTCCTCTGGCTGATGCCATCCCAGGCCCTGGCAATCATCTTCAGGCAGATAAAAAAATAGAAGAGCAGGCCCTGAACAATTCTTCACCTGAGGCCTGGCTAGCATCAGGCATTCTTATGTGATTTCTGCATTGTGTGTGTGCCTCATGATTCTTCTTTGTCACTACATTCAAGTCGAGTGTTGGATGCAGCTCACCACAAGCAGACCATGCTGAGTTGTAAAGAGGATTATATACATTGCATCTTCTTGCTGTGCGTCATTGTAGAATCGTAAAATCTAGTCGCCTTAATTTAAATTAAGACTCTAGGTGACATGGTGCTGAAGGAAAGCTGAGAAAGATATGGGTCTTGTTGAACTTCCGAACCCAGCAGGATGAACAAAGCAATAGCAGTTAGCCACACTGCATTTAACTATTTTGAATAGTTTTGGAGGGGGGGATTTCTATGACATGTCATATTTTTTCTGCAGCCTATGTTTGAGCTTATGGGTGGGTTTGAACATGTTTATGAGTGAGAAAGGCCAGATTACTCATAAATATGGTTTAGCTTGCTTATGGATATAAATGTAGGATGCAGAGAAAATGTGAAATGTCATAGTGAGCTGGCAGCCTCTCCGTGCCTTACCACACTGTGGATGCCGGATCTGGTCTTGAATCGTTCAAACCAGCTTCTGCTGGCCTTGAACTCTTCAGGCTCAGCTGATGTTCCGGGCTGCTGCTCCATGAGGTCTGAGTACAAGGCCCTGGCCTTCTCGCAGATCACAGCCTCAGTCACTGTGTCCCTTGCACGCTGCTTCTCCTCCATCCAGATAACCAGGAGCTTCTCCACCTCCTCCAGGACAGCTGGCCGGTTCTTGGCGATCCTGGTGACACCCTTCACTGCATCCATGGCAAGGATCTTCTCCCTGTTTGCTACGATGGTGCCAATGGTGGATGCATTCCGGCCGTACTCCGTGGTGATGTCCGCAATGCGTTTCCCTCCATCATACTTTCGGATGATATCTTTCTTCATCTCCAGGGTAACCTTCTCCCTGGTCGGCTTGCCAACTTGGGCAGAAGCAGGCTTCTTTGGACCCATGTCCGATGTTGCTACATCAAAAGAAAAAAAAACAGTCAGTGCTTTACATCTGCCTCACCTTCCCACACCTGGCCAAAACTGCCATGGACAAGCAAGTGGCAGTTTTGGCACACACCCCCACCGCAACCTAAGGGGAAAAAAAACTAAAATCAGACCTACCTCTTGATTTAACAGATATTATGGAAAAGGCCACCAATGGCCACAGCACGCCACAAGAGGATGCCTGGCCAAAGAAAATGTGAGAAAAATTAGACTTAACATAACTACACCCACCACCACAACCTAAGGGGGGAAAAACCACAGGAAAAGAAATTCATATTGTACCTACCTCTTGATTTGCCAGATGTTCTGGAAAAGTCCACTAAAGGCCACACCACACCACAGAAAGGAATACCTACAGTTAAAAAAAAAAATCAAACTTGGCATCCTACTCTTGCATTCAAACCCCCATAACAAGCTAATGTAAGTTTCCCCTGAAGGCTACAAATTGTGAAACTCAGGTTTTAACTTGGGGATCCATATCCCTGATGCAGGCATGACCAGAACACCATGCAAAACCATTTCCAGTGAGGGTTTACCAACTTTCCACACAAACCCTCACCAAAAAAACCCCCTGCAATTTCCCCAATGAAAAAAAAGCCCATAACCAAAGCCAGAGCCAGCCAGAGCCAAATTCCCCCTTGCAAAAAAATTCTGAGTTTTGCAGTAAAACCCTCCACCCACCGAGGAGAAGAAATGCAAGCTTACCTTTTGCTGTTAAAGAAGTTCTCCAGCACAGGATGCACCCACAAGACAGACCAAAGTGACAAAGCCAACCTTGGAACTGCACGCTGGAAAAGTAAACCCAGGATGCATGGGGAAGGGGTTTTATACCTTCCCTGCACAGGCACAATGCATCCTGGATACTGGCAGTTAAAAGTTGAAGGAAAACAACAAATTAGCATTGCCAAACAGCCACCTTTCCCGCTCTTTTTAAAACATCGCTAAGCGAAACGGGGACCCAAAACCTAATCATTATGCGAAGCATGGTCCCGAAATCGCTAAGCGGAAATCCCCCATAGGAAACATCGCTAACCGAGGCAGCAAAGTTTTCCGAAAATGCCATCGCTATGCGGATTTGTCGTTAAACGAAGCGCTCGTTAAGCGAGACACCACTGTACAAATTTTATGAGATGGTCCCCTTCTGTACACCTGTAAGTAGTGTAAACGATACTAGGAAAATAAGATCATAGAAGAAGGCTTTAACCATGCCTTCATAATGCTATGGAACAAATACAGCAACTTGCACAGGTACACAGATTTTTCATTTATGATTCTGTGGGCATGGTGACTACTGCTAGAAACCTCTGTCCTTCTAATTTGTATGTAGCAGTGGTTCTATTTATCCTTCCCCTGCATAAATAAAATAGGGAATAAGAATCAAGACTGGAAGGCCAGTTCTTTAACAGTTGTATCCGTCATACAGTTGATATGAAAAGTTGTGCACGGGATATTGTGTGTACACATTCTGGTGTGGTCACAAAACATAAGGGGGATACAAAATAAGATTTGTTCATCTTTTTAGCATCTTAATTATTGTATTCTTAAAGGCTTTCACGGCTGGGATCCAATGGTTGTTGTAGGTGCTCTGGGCTGTTTGGCCATGTTCTGGAGGTTTTTCTTCCTAACCTTTCACCAGTCTGAGGAAGATGCCGGCCATAGAGACTGGTGAAACGTTAGGAAAAAAAACCTCCAGCATACGGCCAAACAGCCCGGAAAACCTATAACCATCTTAGTTTTTCTGACTTAACTGCCTCTATGCTGAATATGGACAAGAAGATATTTTTTTGATAAGGACTCCTTAAAAGACTTCATGCTTTTATTCCTCATCTTGTTATTTTCTCATAGACTTTTCAGCCCAGTCTTTTAAAACGTTATCCTCCTGCCCTTGATGTATTTCATAAAGTTACTTAGTGAAACAGAAAACAGTTTTCTGAGTTTTAACCATGTTAGTCTGTGCAAGCATTTCAACAAAAAACACAAACCAAAATAAATTAAAAGCCAAAAAAAAAAGGATGTTGTGGCACTTTAAAGACTACCCACTATATTTTAATGTAAGCTTTCATGGAACATTGCCCACTTCTTCAGATATATGAGTAGAATACAGAGACTACATGGCAAAACATTCACTAAGAAACGGCAATGTTTGGTTGCATTTCACACCTTGTGATGATTTATGATCCCTGTTTGGTATTTAGTTTTTTTTAAGCTAGGTTCTGTAAACAGCAGCATTTATTCAATCCGTTGGTATAGTTGTCCAACATGTGTATATATTTTACAGTATTTCATTCTTGTACTGCAGTTTTTTTCCTCAGGAATAGCAGCCTTCATATCTTGTGAAGAGTGTCCTGATAGACTGAAGTGATTTAAGACAGGTTTCTGTGTGCAGTGGTGCCCCGCATGACGACGATAATCTGTCCCATTGAAATCACTGTTTAGCGAAATCGTCGTCATGCGAAATCCGTTTTCCCGTTGGAATGCATTGAAACCCAGTTTAATGTGTTCCAGTGGAGAAAATACCTCGTCGTCCAACAAAGCTCGCTCATAGGGAAGCCATTTTGCGAAGCCGACGATCAGCTGTAAAAATCATCGTCTTGCGAACAAATGGTTTGTGAAGCATGGACCTAATCAATGTCCAGCGAAAATCCCCGTTAGGAATGACTGTTTTGCAAATTGCTATAGCGATCGCAAAAAGTCATCGTTATGCGGATTCATCATTTAGCGGGGTCATCGTCTTGTGAGGTACCACTGTACAGTGGTGCCTCGCTTAGTGACGTTAATCCGTTCCGGAAAAAAGTTGCTAAGCGAAAACATCGCTAAGCGAAATTTAAAAGCCCATAGAAACGCATTAAAACACGATTAATGCGTTCCTATGGGCTTAAAACTCACCTTTAAGCGAAAATCCTCCATAGAGCCGCCATTTTCATTGCCTCTTAAGCGAGGAAAAACAGCAGGCGGCCATTTTGTTTTCCCGGCGGCCGTTTTGAAACCGCCGATCAGCTGTTAGAAGAGGGTCGCTTTGCCATGATCGCTTCCCCGCGATCATCGCAAAGCGAAAAAACCCCATAGGGGCCATCGCAAAGTGATCGCTTTTGCGATCACTAAAACTGTCGCTAAGCGATTTTGTTGCTCAACGGAGCGATCGCTATGCGAGGCACCACTGTATTGTGATTTCTGATGTCTGATCACATCAGTCTACCAGGACACTGATATGAAAGTCTCTATTCTGGAGAATAAAAATTACAGAACAAGAATCCAGAGGGAAACAGCCGAGATAAAATATATACACATGTTGGAAACCCATATCAATGTATTAAATACAGTCAAGGTTTCTTTCTTAATTATAACATTCTTGCCAAATGTAATAATTATGTTATCGTCTACTGATATTTTCCTTCACAACTACCAGACCCAACATTTTCAAAACAAGTCTCAAAGGTAAAGTCTGTCTTTATGTGTGCCACATGCTGTTCCACTGTTATTCCTTTAATACTGTTGCTCTTTATGGAACATTGCTTCAAAAGAACTGAATACCAAACTGGGATCTCAAATCATTATGAGGTGTGGAATGCATGCCAATCTGCATTGGGTTGAGCAGGAAGTAAAGGCTGTAGGTTTATCCTACTTTTATAGTAAAAAAAAAAAAACTGAATTACCACTGTATACTTTTTCTTTGCCTTTGTAGATTGATGAAGACCCTAGTCTCATTCCTGAAGCTACCCAAGGAGGTACTTACAACTTTGATCCAACAGCCAATCTTCAAACAAAAGAATTTAACTTTTAAGATCAATACACTGCAGCTTCTCTATCCTACACCAGTAAAACATGCCACCAGATGTCTATCGTTGGAAAACAGACTCCAAGCATATGCCTCTTTGTCTGATGCTTCTAAAGCAAGTTGTATATCAGTCACTTTGCAGTTGCCAAAAGTAACTATCACATGGACTGTAAATGCATATGCATGGTCTCATAAACTGTTAAGATTTTTAACAGTTCCTGCTACCTTTCCTGTCTCTTGGTTATTGTTGGGGGGGTTTCCCCTTTTTACCCCCTGTTGCCACATGCTGATCACTGCAGACTGCAGTTTTAAAAGTATCCCTTTGTGATGGCACATTGGCTTTCCACAGAAGAATAGCTTTCTTTGGAAAACAGTGCACTGTGGATCAAGACTCTTTATGATGCCTACACTTTGAAAAACTTACGAGAGGTCCTGTTTATTTTTGGAGCCTCTACTATTGTCCTCTACAAACATATTTCCATATGTTTAATGTGGAAGAATACATGATGAAAGTGCAAGACAAATTATTTTATTGGTAAAACTGAAATTTTTTTAAAAACTTATCAAAAGAACTTGGTAATTGATTAGTTTTAAAAAACGGACAACATATATCAATTGTGTTCATTACTGCCTTAGACACTTGAGTTCGGAGAATGAGCAATGTATTTGGACTAGTAAAACATGATCATTATACCTATCTTTTGAGAACAGCAAGCTGCACTTGACCACTCTTCAGCCTGTATGTTCTGCCATTTTTGAAATAATGAAATGCTGTGCATGGTATTTTACCTGAGCTACAACCTGTTATGGACTTGAAAACTTGGTTTTAAGTTGAAAGCAAGAGTCTTAAAATAAGAAAAAAAGCTATCCTAAATGAGTATTGGTTAACAAGAATCTTGCTTTCATCTTTCAGAAGTCACTATGTTTTTGGTTTAAATTTATAATTGAATAATGTTGATTTATATTGGTTTAAACTGTGGAGCTTTCTTGTTTACTGTACTTTAGTCTTAAACTTTTTTTTAACTTACCAGTGCTTATAAAGATGTGGTTGGCAACAAACTAGCAACTATTTTAGAAGCATCATAAAAGCCTCCTTCTTGGAGTATTGGAAGAATAATAGAAAAGTAGTCTATAAACCTTATCATATAGTTAAAATATATACTAGCTGTGTGAAGTCTTGTGGAAGCTGCTACTTTTCCGCATAAGCATAATGTGCAGCTCACGATGAATACATTACATGAGCTGGTACACAGAAGTAGAGGGGAAACTGTCCAGTCTGGTTTTTCGGAGGAATTAGGATTGCTGAGGGTAGAAGTGAAATTTTAACTGTATAAGCTGTCAGACAAACTGATACTATTGCTGTTGTTCACTGGATGTACCTCCCAATGCCTTGATGTGAAAGGACACAAAAAGCGTAAACTAATGTAGTTATTGGATGTGGATTGTATTTACTGTGATGATGATAAGGACAGATGCCATCAAAGCTTTGTTGATCGGCTGTTTTTCCACTAATGAGCAAGACATTGCTGGTGTTCATTCATTAAATATATCTGCCAAGGTAGAGCCACTTTAAAGAGTGAGTTGTCTTGTATCTTGAAGGATACAAGTATGTGTTTTAAAGTGCAAGATTTTTACTTGCTAGATAATCTGTTTAATACAATGGTTTGGCCTCTATTTATAGGTTTTATAAATTTTAAAATCAATTTCTCTTTAAGGTGGCTCAAACTTTTCAACTCTTGTGCACATAAAATTGAGTTGAAGTTCATTGTGCCTTTTTTTCTTTACCCAAACATTGAGTTAATTTGGTAACTGTGTCCTGTTAACATATTATAATCTAAAATACTGAAATTGTGGTGTTTTTGCTAAAAAACAAATTAGACAAAACCAAACCAAAATTTGATTTTGTCGTAGATTTTGGAATTTCAAAGCAAGTATGCAGTTGATGATATGAACAAATCCCCTCAAACAGTATTCCTATGTTTTTAGTCATAGATTGCATAAAACCTAAGATTAATGATTTTTTTCACTACTGTGAATACGGAGATTTTTTTTCTTGCACTCAACTAGAGATGAACGTAAGGAAAATTGATTTATAACAGTAACTTTCTTTTTCTTCTCTCAGTCTTGTCACCTTATCAACTCTTGACTGAGGTTCAACCATTTTGTAGTTAATAAAGGAAATGAAGACTTGGATCCAAAGATCCTTCTATGAGGAGCAGAAGGGACTCGGCAGTTATGCTTGGGGAATTGCTGGTTTTCCCTTCCCGCATCCACAGCCTGCACAAAGTGGAATCAGGAGGGCAGGAGACCCTTCAATGCAGCTTTTCAGGGGGCATAGGGGCTGCAGATTGGGGGGAGAATGGCAATATTCTTTCCTTCCCCACACGTGGAGGTATTTTTCCAGTCATGCAAAGAGGAGGGATCTTAGCATCCAAGCAAAAAATATATTGCTGCACTTTTAAGTTTTCAGGTGTTTTTAACTGCATTGTGTTCATTATTTTTTTAACTCTCAGTTAATAGATTAAATTCTTCCTTAAAAGGAGGCATCTAAATGTGTTCCTAATTTTGTATATGGGCTTAGGTTTTATAATCAATAAAAAGCTGCTATCAAATATGACATAAATGAAGGACCTTATTTTGAAAAGAGTGAAACTGCTTATACGTTACAGTTATTTTTTCCCATTGTGGTCTTTGTACATGACATATAGGTTTTGTGCTTCTCTAGATACCTCTTTGAGGAACCTTTTGGAAGTTGAAGTTGCTGCTTTGGTTCCCTCTTTTGAGAGAAAGATGTATTCATTAGGTGCGTAGATAGGTAAAATGAAGACACAAGACCCCATTCTCTCTATAGTGCACATGCCCCTAGCACATGTTCCAGCCATTCCTGCACTGGTCCTTTTCAGCCCCCTATACTGGTGACATTGTTAACAAATGTCTGTTTTTCTCTAAAGAGAAAAATATTTCATGACAACTTTATTCTTAATCATTTCTGTTCTGGTGTCTTTCATCTTTGGTGCTTTCATTTCTTTGTGCCGTGAGTTCCTGCACAGCTTAAACCCCTGGAGGCCCCTTGCTGCAGATGTGTTCACTCTGCAATTTCTTGCAGATCTCCCACCAGTAAGGCTGTATGATGCCTGACAGTCCAGTCCCTTGGCAACAGTGTCTATGTATCTGGATAATGGGTGACCAATTTATCAAAAACATAAGTATTCTTATGGAACTGACATTCTTTGCTGGTACTGTAGTTCTCCCTCCTGTTCTTGAGCTATTACTTCATTTGATGCCAAGATCTGTGATATCGTCAGCCACAAGTATTTATCCAGTTCTCTCATTACTGCTTGTAATTATGACCACTGCACCCCCTTTGTCCCAAATTGTAGAATTGCTGCAAATACAGCACTTGGTTCCTTTTCACCATTCCTATCCTCCTTTAGCCTGATGTAACTAATTCCAACACACTTTTCATCATCCTCCAAAGTAGATGAACGCCAGTCAGATCCATTTTCATGGTGTCCATCACCCCATTCTTATTCTTCTAAAACATTAGCATTGGGACCACAGTATCTGCTTTCTCTGCTGGAGAACAAGGGTTTTGTTTTGTTTTTGTTTTTGCAGAGAAGGTTGCTTACATATTGAGCCTAGTAGCATGCCAGTGGTATATATCAATTAGTGTAGTCTGATGTGGATGTTCCTCCTGCAGTCACCAAAACTCTGTGGCAAAATAAGTCTATGTCACTGACTTCATGGAGATTAGAAAACATGTACCAGCTGCGAGAAAAGGAATGTATTTTCTCCATTTAAACATCATACACCAATTCAGTCATTTTAAAGATGTTCCACAAGTGCCGCCCCAGCAGACTTAACATGGGAATAAGCTTAATGTGATGGATTGCAGGATTTATACCACTAGAGCTTTGGATTGCAGATGATGAGATACTTCTTCACACTTCTTTTTGGCAAAAATCAGAACATTTGTGGATTATCTGGCTCAGGAACAAAAGCTAGTGTTGAAAATAATCAGTGAGGCTACAAATGTTGCAGGACAGCAGGTAAATGCTACGTACTGTAGATATCTGTTCACAGCTCAGAACTTTAGTAGATGCTGTTCCTTTGTACCAGCTTTATTCTAGGCATGGGAGTTTGAGAATTTTTGGACTACAGCCTCCAGAAGTCTGAAGGAATTCCTCCAGACAAATTTCTCACAGCTTTAGCCAAGAAATCAAAGTCATCACTAGGGGAAGGATTTCTATGACATTTCACATTTTCTCTGCAATATACATTTGGACCCATAAGCAAGTTCAAATGTGTTTATGAGTAATCTAGCCTTTCTCACCAGATTACTCATGTTCAGACCCACCCATAAGCTCAAACATAGGTTGAAGGGGGGAAAACGACATGTCATAGAACTTCTCCTAGAAATCACAGTTGTTTATAATCACTTATGGTTGGAGAATGGAGAATTTATTTGGGCCATGCTGCTGAATCCATAGAGGAAGTAGTCGGGAGGGCTAACCTTTGTGGGAGCTGCAAGGCATTATGGGGCTGGTAGTTTCCCTGCCCATTATGCTCCATACAATTTGCCTCTCAATTAACTATTAGCTCCACAATGCAGCTCCCATGAAGCTTACTCCGTCCTAGTCATTTCCTCCATATTCAAAGTTCCAACTGTTACGCTTGATAAAAAGCCTATGGTCCAAATGAGAACAGATTGGAGTGATTCTGTCAGCATTGTGCCATTTAGATTGTTCGCCATGGGTTATCAAGTGCTCAGCATTCTGTTCTTTAAACCAGTTGGAATAGCTCTGCTGTGCATTGGAAAATTCAGTGGTGCACCGAACACTGTCCCAAACCAAACCTTCAAATTGTCTCCAGCCTTAGTTTGTCTCAGTTTGTTCTGCATTTTCCACCAGTTTTGTCATAACTGCCATGCCATTCATTTCATCATCACGAGCTCCCTAGAAAACTACGACTAGTTTTTTGTTTTTTGTTTTTAATTTTTTTGTTTTATTAACAATTTTTTATTTATTATAAACTACATATAAACTATAATGGGAGCATTTCAAGAATGCTGCTTATAACACCGCCTTGTCCACATTTGGCGAAAAGACAAAAAAGATGGCAGACGGGTTTAAAACCAGTTGATGCCAGCCAGAGGAGTTGATGCCAGCCATCAAGGAAAAGATGAGAGCGCTAGCATCATGCAAAGTCTGTCCTAGTGAGTACAACTTGCAGGTTCTTCAAGCTGCTCATAGCAAAGTCCAACAGACTGCCAGGAGATGATCTAATTGGCTTCAGCTCTGCTCTCAGATACAGATAGCAGCGAACACAGGTAACATCAAGGGAATATATGACAGTATCAAGCATGCTTTAGGTCCAATACAGAAGAAATCTACTCCTTTGAAGACTGCTACAGTCTTGATCATCCAGGACCGATTACAGCAGATGAAATGCTGGGTGCAACACTATTCTGAGCTATATTCGAGAATGTAACCGAAGAGGCATTAAAAAACAATGAGTGCCTGCCTGTTGTTGCCCATTCTGCTGAAGAGCTCGAACAACTTATGAATTGCTTTAGTAAGGCCTGCCAACATTTTGGACTAATAATCAGCCTGAAGAAAACACAAGTCATGGGCCAGGGCGTGGACTCACCTCCCTATATTACCATCTCTACACAAGAATTGTAGGTTGTTCATGATTTTGTGTACCTTGACTCAACAATCTCTGACACCCTCTCTCTAAATGTCGAGCTGGATAAACGCATTGGCAAAACAGCTACCATGTTCTCCAGACTCACAAAGAGAGTATGGCTTAATCAGCTGGCGGCATATACCAAAATCCAGGTCTATAGACCCTGCGTCCTGAGCACACTCCTGTACTGCAGTGAGTCCTGGACCCTTTGTGCATGGCAGGAGAGGAAGCTGAACACGTTCCATATGCATTACACATTTTTGCTATCACCTAGCAGAACAAAGTTCCAAATAGAGTAGTCCTAGAACAAGCTGGAATTTTTAGCATGTATACATTATTGAAATAGTGACATCTACATTGGCTCGGGCATGTTGTGAGAATGGCTGACGGTCAGATTCCCAAAGATCTCTTGTATGGAAAATTAGTGCAGGGAAAGCGCCCCAGAGGAGAACCACAGCTGCGATATAAGGATATCTGCTGACATCTACATTGGCTCGGGCATGTTGTGAGAATGGCTGACGGTCAGATTCCCAAAGATCTCTTGTATGGAAAATTAGTGCAGGGAAAGCGCCCCAGAGGAGAACCACAGCTGCGATATAAGGATATCTGCAAGCGGGATCTGAAGGCCTTAGGAATGGACCTCAATAGATGGGAAACGTTGACATCTGAGCATTCAGCCTGGAGGCAGGCAGTGCATCATGGCCTCTCCCAATTTGAAGAGGCACTTGTTCAGCAGGCTGAGGCAAAGAGGCAGTCCCGAAACCAGCAAAATCAGGGAGCTGGACAGGGGACAGATTGTACTTGTCTTCATTGTGGAAGGGATTGTCACTCTTGTATTGGCCTTCTCAGGCACACTAGACGCTGTTCCAAGAGCACATTACCATAGTGTCTCGAGATTGAAGGATGCCTACAAGGAATAAACTACAACATAAAATACATTTAAAAATACATTAAAAATCAATTGTGTTCCCCACCACCCTTGTTGGGAGCTCTTGCAGTAGTCTTCTTCCATTGTCTTTATTCTTCTTATTCCTTTATTGTCCTCTTCTCCAGAAGTGCATTGATCCTAATTTGGAACTTTCCCTTTTGTTAGCACATATTCAATAAATCTGCCCCATATATCGTAAAAATTATTATTATTTTTATCTCTCCTTTCTTAACCTTTAAATTACAAGTTAATTTTTTCATTTATAGCAATGTTCCATATCTCATTATATCACATTATACCATTCTTCCATTTGAAATTCAAGTTTTGATTTCCAATTCCTGGCTACTATTAATCTGGCTGCTGTTAATAAATTGGTAATCAGCTCTCTAGCCATCATATCATATTCCACATTTACAAATATTGAGAACAAAGCTATCTCAGGATTAAATTCTATATCCCTTTTACATATATCAGTTAAGTCCTTAAAGATTAATTTCCAAAATCTTTTTACTTTTTCACATTCCCACCACATATGAAAGTACTGCATGTACCAATTTCCTTCTCACATTTCCAAAAGATATTCAGATAGTTAATTTTATTCAATTTTATCAGTGTCAAATACCATCTTAAACTTAGTTTTTACAAAAAATATTTTATTCTCACCAACATAAATTGTTAAACACTTATTTTCCATATCTTCATCCATTTTCACTATTTATTATTTTTCCTAAATATTGTTCCCACTCCAGCATCAATCCTTCATTCTCGATCTCCTTCTAAATCTAGCAGGAGTCTATAAATTTTACTTACTACACCCTTCACTGACTCATTCATCTGAATATCTTCATATGATAATAGAAATTGTTCATACAGTACTTTGCACATTTTTTTACCTTTGTTATACAGTGGTGCCTCGCATAGCGATGTTAATTGGTTCCAAAAAAAACATCGCTATGTGAAACCATCGCTATGCGAAACACCATTTCCCATAGGAATGCATT